CCTCCAGCCTTTTCAGTGTGAAGAAGTGACAGACATGCACACAGATACAAAATTACTGCATAAATACAGTTAAAACATACTATTTGAAATAAAAAATACTGTTTAATTAAAAAACTAAATGAATTAAATGGTAACAGTTTATTTTGACGCCATACTAGCCCTATAATAATATTTGCATACATAAGCCACAGCACTTTATGTCAAGGTAGTTTTGTTTCCAAATGATAAGGTGATAACGATCTTAATGAATTCCGAGATAATGTTAGGTTTTGCTTGTTTTTTTTCTAACTGCAGAGATTCAGGGTATTTGGACATTGGAACCTTTTTGTTCTGTACGGTAGGAACTTTATAACTAAGTACTATCTATGTGTAGTAAAAATATTTTTTACACAATGTGCCCTAATAGTGTACCTAGCAAAGAATAAAAAATGAAGAGATACTTTTTAATTTTGCTCTATGCGGTTTTATACTATAAATGAATATAGTGAAAACGGGTTTTAAATATTTTTACAATATACTATTGATGGAAAGAAAACTTCAGTGCGCTATTTTAACAACCACAGGTTCCCGTACCATAATCGTTATTTTTTAATTTGCATGGAGTAGCTTTTTTTGAAATTCGTCATCTTTGTTTTTTTTATTATTTGTTGTTATAGCGGCAATCGAAATATGTACACACTCTGTAAAAATTTCAACTCTCTACCTATTACGGTTCATGAGACATAGCCCTCTGACAGACGGACGGACGGACAGACGGACGGACAGCGCAGGCTTAGTATAGGATCCCGTTGGCACCTTTCTGACACACAGACACATACACACAGACCACCTGGCTGCGAAGAGGATGCGGCCAAAAGCTCAACGGCAGCTATCACTTTTCAAGATCTCTACGTATATTTCTGTGAAGTGGAGTATAATTCATTTTAATAAAAAATGCATCGTTTTTGTTCCTAAAACTCAATTATGATTTATTTATTTAAACATACAAGCGGGCTCATTTTAATAGGCACCCCGGTCAAAACATATTGTCCCTTTTATTATTGTATATAAAAAAAATATTTTGATTAAATACGCTATGAACGGCAGCTTGCAGCCGGATCTCGATTCATTACTAAATCTCAATGAGATGCACTCTGTTTCAATAAAAATCATGAGTGGCAGCTTTATGCTAACAGTCAAAAACACATGCTACCATTTAAAGATATTATTTATTATCTACTAGCATTGCCCGCGGCTCCGCCCGCGTTCAGATGACCAAAAACTAAATTCTTAGGTGTTACATATTAGTATACTCTTACATTGCAGTTTTTGTATTTTTCCTCAGAAATAAGATATTTTCCCGCGGTAAAAAGTATCCTAGGATCGCGCGCTACATCGCCCGGTTTATATAGCTTGAGCAGGCGGTCGAGCGATGCGGGGCAGAGGGGATGGACTCGCCGTAGGCATCTCAATGCTCGCCAAGCATTAAAAATGTTTCGCTACTAATTACTTCTAACAACGATATCTCAAAAACTATTCATCTGATTGATTTAGTGTAAAGAGCAATTTTAATCTGCATTAAATGACTAAGCTAACTAAAATATTCATTTGGATAAGGATTAATACCGAACTAAAGAAAATAACTTTGAAAATAACGTAATGTTTTTAATTAAAAATGTTAACATAAAAGTGGTTATTGTAAGTCAACCGTAAGAGATAGAGATATGCTATCGCGGACTTTTTTGTAGCATTTTTATAGATTTTGAATTCTCTAGTACATTACTTAACTGTATCTTTGCTAGTTTACGCGGCGTTCGCGTGGAAAGTTCCCATTTGGCGAGATTTTTTGCGACCTCTTCAACATTTGTCGCCGTATTTCAGCTAATTTACATAAAAGCATAATAAATTATATACCTAAACCTTCCTCAAGAATTACTCTTTCTATTGTTGAAAACCGTATAAAAATCCGTTCAGTAGTTTTCGAGTTTATCGCGTACAGACAGACAGGAGGACAGACAGGAGGACAGAAAGACGCGGCCGGGGGACTTATTTTTATAATAAGTATAGATATCATAAAAACCATATATAGCTCATTTATACAGATAAAGTAAATCTGTTTATATTATCGACTATAAATCAGTAATTAACCATTAGCGACTGCTTAATTACTTGTAACAAACATATCTGTAACATTAATGATTGTAATTTGTTTTTTTTATAATATTTTATTGATATTGATAACCAATAAATAGAGGAACATGTTCAATAAAAATAAAAAAATCATATTTCAGAAATAAATTACCTTAAGGTATGACTGTGGCATTAGAAGCGCTTATTTTATGTATTTAACGAAAACAATTCAATTATAGTGCAGTCATTATGATATAATAATAAATTAAAATATTAATTGTATCAGTGTTTTAATTTTATCTTTTCTAGAAAACCAATAGAACTCCTTAACGTTTAAATAATTAAGGTGTGCGTGTAAGAATTTTAAGAACGTAAGGATTTGTGGCTAACATAATAGAAAACGCATCGTTGTAAGAGCTTTAAGCGTTATCCTAATATCCATACGAAGCGCGGACTAACATAATATTATATATTATATACTATTAATTACATAAATTTATAAAAATATTATTTATCTGCGAATAAAATATATTTCAAAAAATATTTAATTGCTACACCTGTGCAAAATTTAGAGGTCATCTTTTTTTGTTTAGAGACTTTAATTTACTCTAATAATAGTACATATTTTTATTAAGTATAGTGTTAAGCCGTAAAGAGTTTTTATCAGAACTGATACGCTGCCCATTAGTTATGCAAATATTAACTTTGAATCACGTCCTTGTCCATTTAATATGGACTATAAGGACATATGTATATGGATATATAGATAAGTAATCCTTGTGTCAAACACTGATCACAGATACTAACACAACACTACTCAGGTTAAGGGTGCACCGAGGCAATTACGAAATAATTGCGTTTGTTTGATCCCTTGCTGTATTGTTATTATTAAAACTTTAATTATGCAATTAATATGTAGGATATTTAAGAATTTATTCTATAAATCATACCTTTTAGAAACACGATTACTTACTCGTCGATAGAAAAAAAATTAAAATGATATCCAAAAAACAAAATAAACCCTTAGTATGGCGTAAATAATTCAAGAAGAATGTTACATTGAATTATATAGATTATAGTAAATTTAGATTTATAGCGTATTTTGTCGTCGTAACAACGAAATACGGCATTCATATAAGAAATATGTAAATTTATTCGCAAATTTATATCATTAAAATAAAATGCAAGGACAAATATTAACATAATTTATACATTGTCTATCTAATATGTAGAAAATGAATTTTGTTTCTTTGTTCATGTAATATGCATTTTTGGCCAGGCATCCTTCAATGATGAAATTTTGTTAAGTACATGGGGTACGTAACTGATAGTTCCTGTCGTAGATATAATATTTAAATAATATTTTTACGGCATATCTCATATCTAAGGCAGTGGTAGCCCAGTGGTAACGCACTCGCTGAAACCAAGGTTAACGCTGGGAAACCAAGTGATGCGGGTTCAAATCCCCGGTCTCGCACCTCTGATATTTTCATGTAGTTATATTTCTTAAATATTTTTTAAATCTTTTTTATCTAAAAAAATATTTTTTGAAATTCATACCCTAAAAGGGTGAAAAGTTATTTAACTTAAATAACGTAGTAAGTATTCTAGGAAATATCAAGAATAAAACAACACCAAAGCAGCAAGCCTAGATGTATCCACTATATAAAAACTTAATACATTTAGTGAATACTAGCGACTCACCCTCGCTTCGCTCGGCTTCGTGATACCTACTTATGTACGTTTTTGCGTTTAGTATAGATTTCTCAGGGATGAGATATTTTCCCGAAGTAAAAAGTATCCTATATGCTGACCCGGGTAACGAGCTATCATTATACCAAATTTCATCAAAATGCCTCCACTGGTTTTTCCGTGATACGGTAACAAACAGACAGACAGACAGACAAAAATTCTAAAAACTATAGATTCGGTCTCTGTATCGATAAAAATGTCTATTTCAATAAGATTTACCTAAAAAAATATTTATTGTAGGTACAGATTCGGCTTCGTTACAATTTTATTTTAGTATAAGTTAATTAGATAATTTGATTTTCAAAATTGGACATAATAATGTATGTATGTTTAGTGTACGTACTACATAGGTATGCTAAGATAATTTTGCCTAAACTGTTTTTTTTTAAATAATTTCAACGGTCGTCTCATACATATACATATAGGTATATTCCTAAAAAAAGTATTTTATCCTTATAGGTTTTTAGATTAGTTTGGTTAGTTTAAAAGTATTTTATCACTAGAAGTTTTATGAAATGTAGTTTTATACAAAAGTCATAGAAGAGATAAAGATTGCATACTGAATTTAAAAATAGCTCAAGAGCTTAAGAATTAAAATACTTAATATGTACAAGAGTGTCAATTTTTTTCATTATTTGTGCATTATTTTTTACCTTAATTAGTCAAAAAAATATGTTGATCAATTAAACTAGTTCAGAAACATCGCTAGTTTTTATATTGCAGAATTTAAAAAATCCATAAAATATATTTTTATGACAAGTAACCAGGAAGCTATTTAGCATACATGTACATATAGACAATTAATTCGACGTCATGCTTATATAAAAAATAATGCATGAATTTTATTTAAAATATGTGTTGTTAAATTGTTATTTCTTTTTTCTTCTGGTTAATATTTTCCAAAGTATACAAAAATTATAAATCCAAATAAATCTAAATAAAAAAATATCTTATCTTTAAAACTTAATTTTAAAAAATACGACCTTATTCTAATGATTTAAATTTAAAAAATACTTAATTTATATTATACCTGTGCAATCCTATCAATAAAAACCGTTTTGTATTATTTTTTAAATTACCAGGATATGCAACATGAAAGAAACATTTCGAACAATATTACTGAAATGCAAAATACTTACGTGTTCGTCATGACAGCTTTTGTTAGAACTAAGCACAGCCAAAGAGACCAAGAATAATAGAAACTTTTTATTTTCGTTTAAAAAATATTCAGTTCAATAAAATAAAATAAAAATCTACATTGTCATTTAAAATGCACTGGCAGTGATCTGTATTTTTTTTTGAAATCGAACTGTCACTTCGCGCGATTTTTTGAAACGTCAGAGCGTCAGTTTGGCGCGAGTGTTGGGTTTGGACTGGATTTGCCGCGCTCGAACACCTGATTTAATATCGCGAGTTGTATTGCCAGATGCCTGTAACTATGTACGCTCATGAAAATTACGAATATTTAACGGCAAAATAAAAAACAGAAATTTTTATTTGTATCAAAAAATGAAAAATGTCGTTGGAACATTTTAAGTAATCAACACAATTAAATTTTAACATAATATAATTTCTACTATATAAAATATTTTTTTTTAACTCAATCATAGCATGTAACAAATGATGTGGTCAATAGTAGGTATGACTTCTGGGTGAGACTCAAACTCAAACATGTAGAGTGTATAATAATATATGTATATCTACAATAAAAAAAATCTCGAGAAAGTCGCCCTATATAAAAAGTAATTCATCAAAAACCATAGATCTTGTATTTTAGTACAAAATGTACGACAAGAGTACATAAAAAGGTGGGTAAAATAAAGTACGCAATACATGTACTCATTGGCTTCAAAGGCATGTGGCATCGATTCATTACGCATGTTTATTATCAAATGTATTATTAAGTTGTATCGTAATACCTTAATTTTTGCGGCATGATTCAAGATGACGCCGTTTCTCATAGACTGTTTACATTTTATTCATAATCAATTAATTGAATTGTTTATGAATCATAGACATAATTCTAATTGTAAATTCTAAATCCATACATCATGTGACAAATCTAGGACATTACGATTAAAATTGTTTTAATTGAAGTGTACAACTGAAAGAAATTTCAAGATTTATATATTACTAATATTAAAAACGAGAAAGTTTGTAAGAATGTATGTATGGATGTATGTTTGTTACTCTTTCACGCAAAAACTACTGAACGGATTTTGATGAAACTTTGCAATAATATTGCTCATACATCAGAATGACACATAGGTTACTTTTTATCCCGAAAAAAAGTACGGTTCCTGTGGGTTAGATTTGTTTTTGTTTTCTTAGAAGCTAGAAGCGAGGGTGAGTCGCAAGTTTTATATATAACTAGAGACTTACGTCTCTAAGTTAAAATGAGTAGGAACGCAGAAAAGGCAAACGTCTAAAGAAAAATTCTTTATTTTGCACGTGCAACCTTCGCAGGCGTATAGCAGATTTTCATCACAATCAGATCAATAGTGTAGAAATGCATAGAGGATAAACATACGAACATTCATTTTTATTTATATCGATAAATGTAACCAATGACATTATTACGAATCATTAAGAATTTTCCTTAATTTGTTTTTATTTTTAGCATTTATTGTATATATATAAGTATATATGCATATATCTAATCATAATAAGAAAGCAACAAATAAATAAAGAAAACAATTATCCATAAACATGGACAGCGTTGCGAAATCACCTAGTTAAGATATTATATGGACCGTTTGACTTCTTTATCCCCCACGTCAATGCAAGTGCCGATAAATGAACCGTAAAATTAATCTAATCGTCACAAAGAAATTAATAATAATAGAATATTGTATGGTGGCGACTAAGTGCCTAAAAGTAGCCTATGTGTACTCCATGTCATAGCCTTTCTATACTAAATTTTTCTATACTTTTCATCCAAAACAATCCAGCCGTTTCGGCGTGAAAGAGTAACAAACATACAAACATACAACCATTCGCATCAATAATAATAGTCCGATAAGGAATATTTCAATGTCATTGAAATAATGCATCTGTTAAATTTTTTTGTCATTTTAACGGTCTACTGATTTTAAACACCGTTGTTATCAGATAACGTCATCTATAAAAATAATATATTTATTTTAATTAAACCAAAAGTTGGTAACTTAAAAAAACATCTATTAAATTATATTATGTTGGTAAATGTTATATTGATTTATGTCGTACTAGATTACGCACAGGTGTCTATTTTATTAAAAACTATTTAGTAATTTCCACATATTAACATATTTTTTAACGAAGGAAGTCTTCTCGTCTCTTGGAATAAATTGAATTTTAAATATTTTTACAACTACTTTTTACAAGGTACAGCGATCCTCTATCTATCACTTTAAATTTATTTTTAAGATATTAAAAGTTTTACATTTTTTTAATACAAATAACATTAAAAACTACCTACATAAGTTTATGTAAATTATTTCTATTTTTTTTTAATTATCAATTCTATCATTAGGGTATGGTAATTATTGGTGCCAAAAATATTTAAAATAAATATTGCTTATAACAAATGATAATCTTCGTTCAGTTATTTCTTACTTACACATTTTTTTTAATATTTTATCTTAAATATATTTAACTTTTATAACTTATATAATCGCATTTAGCGTCTCTACATTTAAAAAAATGAGTATTGTCCATGGTCATGAAATTTTTCTAGTGACTGTTTTCAAAACTGCTACTAATGTGTTTAAAAAGCACGTAAAATAATCAATAAATAAAACAGACTATAATCCATTTCTATGCTAAATTTTATCCAGATCCGTTCTGTCGTTCTGGCGTGATTGAGTACCAAACATCCATCCAAACTTTCGCATTTATAATATTAATGAGCAAACCATACATACTAGTATAGTATTATATGATCTGTGATATTACTTAACAACAGTAATAAGCCAACTAGTTATCGAAGCTCTGAAAAACATGCATTCCAAATCGACTTCTCAGGACTCTAAAATTATTTTCCCTGTTTACGAAGTATCGCGGTTTCATTGAATGAATGTTGCTTCTAAATATGAATGAGGTGTTTATTTTTGTAAAGTATTCTTAAGGCGAAAGAATGATTCAATTCTATAGCATATTACATAGTTTTATTGGTCATTTGGATTTAGCACCATTGTAATTTATATTATACTAGCAGAACCCGCGGCTTCGCTTGCGCTGAAAGTTCAAAAAAACTAAAAAGGTAGGTTTCATATAAACTTTCATCCCCTATTTTACCCCCTTATGGGATGAATTTCGAAAAATGCTAAAACTCGTATTTATTTAATTGTTTTGAAGTGCATTAATACTAAATTTCAAGTAATTCTGATTAAATATTTTTTTGAGTTGTCTTATAACGTGTCTTCCCGTGGGAATTAGATAATCTTCCACGGTAAAAAGTACCTTATGTCACTCTCCAGCCCTCTAATTGTGTCCATACAAAAATCACGCCTATCCGTCACTCCGTTTCGATATTAAAGAAAGACAAACAAACAAACACACTTTAACATTTATAATATTAAAGTATGGATTATACGAAATACCGTTTTCGCGATCCAAGGTTATAATTTATTAATCAAACAGTGTTGTAACATTTTTTAAAATTCAAAATTATTAATAGTTTGAGTTAGTTTAGTTTAACATAACTTATCTCCTCAGTTTTAAAATATGTGTGCTTTTAATCTCAATCAATTAAGACGGTAAGAGGTAAACAAACAATTAATAAAGTTATTTTCGCACTTTTGTTTTTATCTATTCCAAGAATCCTTTTAAACAATGGTGGTTTCTAGCTGCGGTTTCATCTGTTCAAAATGTTTCTCTATTTTCTATCAACTTTATAGTGCAGCGTCATCTATTGATAGGTAAACACTAAACTTCTAAAGTTGCTTCGAATACTGATTTAATAATAATAATCCAAGTATTACAAACTTACTCTATTTATACTTGCATCTACACCACAACAGACCAGACAGACAGACAAACAAAAATTTTAAAAACGATAAATTCGACCTCTGCATCAACAATAATGTCTATTTTTAATTAGAATTTTATCATATGTATAGATTTTGACGACATTATTGGCTCAGTTTGTAATGACCTTACTTGCTGTGCCAGCGGTCGCGGGTTCGAGTCCCGCTGGGGGCATTCATTTGTGTGATGAGCACGAAGGCTTGTACTCCAGTCCTGGTTGTTTATATTTATAATATGTATGTATTTATAAAGTTATATATGTGTAGTGTATCAACTATCTGGTATCCATAACACAAGCCTCGTAGCTTACCATGGAACTAGATGGCGCTGTGTGTTAATGTCCCAACACATATTTGAACTAAATTTAATTTCCTATCTTAATAATTATGAAATTGTTGGCCACACCAGCAAACCGTTATGCAACAAAAAATAATAAGTAATGGACCAGACTGATTGTCCTCAATGAATGCCAACCCCATTGTCGGGGCTTGTCACTTGACCCTATAACGTGTTTGAACCTTTTATTCATCCCATAGCCTTTTTTAATTATTTAGGACCTTAAATTTTTAACCGCCTTTAAAGAGTGAAGTTCTGAGTTTGGATGTATGTTTTTTGATGCATTTTTCGTGAGATTTACTATTACTCTACCGTGGAGAATCCTAAGAAAGTTTTTTTTAGGTATTTAGGTTTTTTTTTAAGTTTTGAGTTTAAATTTCATTTTTTATATTTGGTTATTTATGTGATTTTATATTATAAAAATTTTAAATTACATTTAAAGATTTTTTAAGTTGATACAACCTTTTTAATTACTCTTGGAAATATATTTGTATAACAAACAATATAATTTATGTTTCCCTGAAAATTAATTCAAAGATGATTCAATCGAATGAAAAAAAATATTTGTTTACATTATTGTCGTTGACTTTACACTATAGGATATCAAGATTGTTTTCAAGCGTATGAAGTAAACCGATAAAGCGTGAGTACTGAGTACTTTAACGTCTCATTGCTTATTTACTTTATTTATGTTATAAACTAGCGACTCACCCTTGCTTCGCTCGGGTTCGCCCCTAGCTTGATTCCCCATACAAACTTTCTTCCCCATTTTCAACCCCTTAAGGGATGATTTCCGGGATAAAAAGTATCCTATGTATTTTCCAGGGTTTCAAACTATCTTCTCACCAAATTTCATCTAAATCGGTTCAGTAGATCCAGAGATTACCCCCTACAACGTCACAAACTCACAAACTTTACCTCTTTATAATATTAGTATAGATTAGTAGAAGTTATATTTAGTAGGTACATTTATGTGTAATTTTAATCAGAATTGGTGACGTAGCACCCCTAGAGGCTTTTTTATCTATAATATTATATACAAGTGGCACCACCTTCTGGCAAATTTTATCACTAACAATAGCCTGTGTTACTCGAGGTCTTAGTTGGGTTTTAGTGGGTAGTACTAGCTTTTCTAGCCCGTGAGTCCCACATAACTACCTGAATGTCTACAGGTGGTATGCGTAAACGCATTTCCCCCAATTAAAAAAAAGTCATAGCCTATCAAGTTTTTTAAGGCAAGGGGGAGCGGTTAGTAATATACTAGTATAGTAGTTTTTAAGTTAGATGATTCACCATTGAATAATAGGACTTAGGTATATATATGTAATAATATATTAAATGATTCATTCATCTTTTTAAATAGCCAATTAACAATTTCCGACTAAGCATAGATTCAGCAAACAGAATGACCAAATCTATTGAAATATATGAAGTGCATGTGAACAGTGACACGTCGCGTCGTTACTACAATACAACAATTAAAAGCAGATGTTCAATAGTTATACAACCTATATTATCTAATCAGCTATGTTATATTTTATAATATACTAGCATTGCCCGCGGCTCCGTCCGCGTTATGGTGACCGAAAACCAAATTCTTAGGTTTTACATGTTAGTATACTCTTACATTGCAGTTTTTATATTTTTTCTCAGAAATAAGACATTGTCCCGCGGTAACAAGTATCTTATATGTTGACCCGGATAACCAGCTATCATCATGCCAAATTTCATTAAAATCCCTCCAGTGGTTTTTCTGTGATGCAGTAACAGACAGACGGACGGACGGATGGACGGACGGATGGTCTGACGGACGGACAGAGGAACGGACAGACAGACAGACAGACAAAAAATCAAAAAAGTATAGATTCGGACTCTGTATCAATAATAATGTCTATTTCAATTAGATTTTCCAAAAAATATTTAATGTACAGATTCGACTTAGTTACAATTTTATTATATGTATAGATTTATTATGACTAAGGTTTTTAATAGTGGAGTGGCAGTTTGATGTCTGTTTAAAGTCAGACTTAAAAAAATATTGTCCTTCTAGCCGATATTCAGCTTACAGCAGTATAGGTATGTGGCTGAAACTAGCCTAGGTTTGAAAAATAAAAGTTACCTTTTAGTTGGCATCGGAACTAGAACATGTAATAAGCAGTTAAATCCATACTTACTAATAGTATAAATGTGAAAGTAGCTCCGTCTGTTACCTGTTCTACCTTAAACTGCTGAACAGATTTCGATAAAATTTGGAAAAGGCATAAATTGCATCCTGGGGTCGAATATAGGCTACCTTTGATCCCTGCCCCACTTAACACGTGCACGACCCCGGGGCAAAAACTGTTTGATAGAGAATTCTCCACAAGTCTCTACTTCTCTATTCTCTCTATAATTGTGAAGATTTAGAAATATAAAAATAAATAACTAAGCTTATTTCGCATTTTATTCAAACCCGTTACAGCATATAGTAATAACAATAATACGCAATAATTTCTTCGCTTCCGCATTAAAATATTATTAGTTAATTATAAAGTCTAAATAATATAAAAAATATATATCTATACTTATTATAAAAATAAGTCCCCCGGCCGCGTCTTTCTGTCCTCCTGTCTGTCCTCCTGTCTGTCTGTACGCGATAAACTCGAAAACTACTGAACGGATTTTATACGGTTTTCAACAATAGAAAGAGTAATTCTTGAGGAAGGTTTAGGTATATAATTTATTATGCTTTTATGTAAATTAGCTGAAATACGGCGACAAATGTTGAAGAGGTCGCAAAAAATCTCGCCAAATGGGAACTTTCCACGCGAACGCCGCGTAAACTAGCAAAGATACAGTTAAGTAATGTACTAGAGAATTCAAAATCTATAAAAATGCTACAAAAAAGTCCGCGATAGCATATCTCTATCTCTTACGGTTGACTTACAATAACCACTTTTATGTTAACATTTTTAATTAAAAACATTACGTTATTTTCAAAGTTATTTTCTTTAGTTCGGTATTAATCCTTATCCAAATGAATATTTTAGTTAGCTTAGTCATTTAATGCAGATTAAAATTGCTCTTTACACTAAATCAATCAGATGAATAGTTTTTGAGATATCGTTGTTAGAAGTAATTAGTAGCGAAACATTTTTAATGCTTGGCGAGCATTGAGATGCCTACGGCGAGTCCATCCCCTCTGCCCCGCATCGCTCGACCGCCTGCTCAAGCTATATAAACCGGGCGATGTAGCGCGCGATCCTAGGATACTTTTTACCGCGGGAAAATATCTTATTTCTGAGGAAAAATACAAAAACTGCAATGTAAGAGTATACTAATATGTAACACCTAAGAATTTAGTTTTTGGTCATCTGAACGCGGGCGGAGCCGCGGGCAATGCTAGTAATATATATTTTCAACAAATAGACATAAATGAAACAGCTACTTTCGGTTTATATGAGCAGATGTTACCTAGTATATGCATTTCAATTGGTTTTCAATCAGTGTATGAGGCCACAGAGTCTGGTCATTTGTCACAATCTGAAGTGTCACCTTCATATATCCGGAATTACTAATATTGTAGGTATATATAAGAAAATCGGTCAAGTACGAGTGCGATTTCTGCACTGAACGTTCAATACCACACAGTGTATGTATTTGTTCCACGTATTTATTAATTTTTACTTTTTGATTCTGGTCTAGTACGACTGCATATCATTAGGTCCTAAGTTTTAACCCTGGCTGAGTCCAAAATTATTTAGTGGGTACGAAATACTCAGTAGCAGGACTAAGTTAAATGTAGGCAATATGTACACCTACCCCCGTATGTACGTTCAGAATTCAGCTGTTGTTCCAGGGATTTATTATCATCATTTTACCAGTCGTATCGAGAGTTCGTCCCATCGGAGTACGATAGTAAAAGGAATAAAGAGTGTACTTCTGCGCTATAATACGAGTATGTCTCGCGCAGTTGGCTGGCCTCAGTGAGGTAAACTGTGTATACCAAATCAATCAAATCAATCAATTTATATATTTTTTACAAGAGTACCTGCTCATACCGTTACATTAGCAACTTTTGTATATATAAAAAAAAAACTAAAAACTTTTATATTTGTCTTCATAGATGTCCAGCACTAATTGAGCACTAAATTAATGCTAGATTTATTGACGCTGTGTTATACGGTTAGCGTATGTGGCAGCAACACTGATAGCTTAACTAAAAGCTGGCAGTTTTATAATTTTCTGCCAAAATATAAGAGCATCAAAGTTTAGGTTTTGGCACTAAGTTAGCACTAATCGAGCACTAATTTATGCACTTAGTTTTAAACGATTCTGCTCACTTTGCCTTGCTAGCTTTACATACGTCTTAAAAGACATCTTACAAATTTATAAGCTGTCATTATTTTTTTTAACAGCAATAAAAATGTAGAAGACATTACAACTAGTTATTATAATAACGCCTTGACAATATATTAGCAGAAACAGGCAATAAACATGTATATATTGCCTAATAAAACGGGAAATGCTGAAAAATATATGCAAACGCACAATTGTCCGTGCTATGAATTAAATGTATCACAACCTCGATTCTAAATGGTGTTTATTTTTAATATTTAAAACGACTCCAGGTATTCAGGACGTGTGGTTATTCCGTACTGAATTAAGCTATCATCCAACGGCAATTGAGTTTTATTGCAAAACTAATTTCGTATGCCGTTAAATGTGGTTTGAAAAAACATTTACACGTGTCGTTTGGCTGTTTGGTGTTGTACCTTCGTCATTCCAGAAAACAATACGTCATATTTGAATTTGGAATGTCAATGGGCGCGAAATGGTATGCATATCAGCATCTATAAATAGCTCGATCGTTGGCAACAGAGCGCCAGTCGTAAAGATTCAGGTGAACCAACAATATGGCAGTAAATCATATTTAGCTCTAAAATACTGAAAACGCGGTTCAAAAACATTCTAGCGTTAGCAACTGTTTCTTACGTCCTCGTTACTGTTACAATTACCAATTCCTAGTTTCTAATAAAGTTAAAAAATATATATATAAAATTTTCTGTCATCACTTTACTGTAAATAATATTTCTGAATCATTCGTTATAAATCTAGTTAATTAATATAATAATATTTAACATTGTCGTTTATAATATTATTTCTTTTTTATTTGATACATGAAAACTTAGTGGTTGAACTTCAAAACCAGGGATTAGGCTTGCTCATTTATGAACCTGTCGAGACAAATAACGAGACGACTACTCGAAACGACCAGTCAGAGTTAAGGCGCAGCACCGACGCTTTACGTGATCTCCAAGGCACGGGGGTGAAATACCGCTTACTTCCCAACTCCGGGCTGTTACTGCGGCTTATTAAACAGAAAGACTTAATAACTAAACTAGGCCCAACCCGCGACTCGAACCCAGGACCTCTGGATGTGCAGCCGTACATGCTGCCACTATACCACCGTGGCAGTTAATAGGTATAAGTTAACTTACTTGTATGTTATTGGTAGTTGTTACAATCTCATACACAAAATGATCGTAAGGACTATAATGTATATAAATATTATTTAAACAATAATAAAATGGTTAACCACGAATTAAAAAATAAATATATACTCGTAATGATATTAAATTAAAAATTTAAAAAACCCCTCGATATGTAATTCGCCATTTTGTTGTGGCGGCCATCTTAAATTTGAAATTTATCATAGTGTATAGTATTCTACTAGTCAAGCCCTTTCATTTGATACCCATATTGAGGGAGTTGTGAAAAAATATGTACCAAATCCGACAGTTTGTGGTAGCAGCCATCTTGGACCGATTTTCCTCAAACATAGCTAAGAAAACTCCGGACTAATTCACATTTCAAACAAAAAAAAAAGAAAATCAAAATCGGTTTATCCGTTCAGGAGCTACAATACCACTACATGATAGAGGCAGAAAACTTTTATACCTTCGATTTTACTCATTTTATTTAATTCAATTTAATCCTTTATTTAACGGCTTTAATGCGTACCAGTTGATATTCGCCAGTTTTAGTTATTTCGCCATTGTCACGTTGAATGGAGGAGTCACGTTAATTTCTCATTTTAAAAAGGTAATATAAAACTTTCTCATTCTGTTTTATATCTGATAAAATTATACAATCAAACATTTCAATAGGTGTCTGGCTTATTTTAAACGTGGATCATAATGCCAGTGTTGCATTGAGTGTTCAAATCTAATATTAGACCTTAGCTCAACGGCATTCTATACGAGCATTCTTAAATTTGGGTGCGGTTTACAAACGGACGTCGCGACTTATGTTACTTAATATATTTGTGTATGATTTTTTCATATAAGCATTTACTTCGTGCTGAATCGAATTTACAACCTTCTTTATGCAAGATTTATTTTACACTAGCTTTTAACCCTTGCTCTAATTAAAGCGCTCTTTTAGCAAAAAACCATGAAAAACCAATTCCATAGCTCCAGAAATTATCCACTCTATACAACACTTTTTCTTAATATTGTAAGATTATTTGGTAATTGTTCTCTGTCATAAATGTCATAACATTATAAGGTCTAGTCCAATAATGATAGCCTCAAAAGGAAAGATAATAATACAGCTAGAGAGTACAGACCAATGTTTTGGCGATTTATAATTTGGCTCAAAAATCTCATATAATCTCAAGCAATAGACTGATATTATTAAATACACTAAAAAGTGGTTATGGTCCATTTTGAGGTTCACTCCATTTTTACCTTATATTAATATGTTAAGCTTTTAAAAAGCTACATACATAATGTGTACATATATTGGATCCTACGTGTCAGTAAACAAATCTGCCTTATTAATATGAATGAAACAGATAATACTTTCTCCTCAGTAAAATATCAACAGGGGGCATCAGATTAATCGAAATAAAGTATTTAAGTAGTTTAAGTAGCTTAATTCCCAATACAAACTTTCATCCCCATTTTCACCCCCATTATGAATGATTTCTGGGATAAAAAGTATCCTTTGGCCTTCCCAGGGTCTCCAACTATCTTCTTAGCAAATTTAATCTAAATCGGGTCAGTAGATTCAGAGATTACCCCCTACAACGTCACAAACTCACAAACTTTACCTCTTTATAATATTTGTATAGATGAAACGCTAAAAATTATTTAAAAAAAAAACAATATTTATTTTTATTCAAATGTGGTTAGTGATGTTCACAAATTTGTTTGCCTTAGAGAAAAACATAACTAATATGATTTTAGTTTTAATTTGCAAATAAATACCGTGATATTACATTTAATCTATACAAATAAATAATGTCTGAATCTAAAGTACGTACTGACTCTTACTTACGGCTAATCTTCGAAACGACTGGACCGATTTTGACGGGACATTCACTGGCAGATAGCTGATGTTATATAGAATAACTTTGACACGTTTAGCTCAGTTTGTAGTAACCCTACTTGCTGAGCCAGCGGTCGCGGGTTCGAGTCTCGCTGGGGGTATTCATTTGTGTGACGAGAACGAATGTTTGTACTCCAGTCATGGGTGTTTATATTTATAATATTATGTATGTATGTATCTAAAGTTATATATGTGTAGTGTATCAAAAATCTGGTATCCATAACACAGACTTTGTAGCTTACCATGGGACTAGATGGTGCTGTGAATTATTGTCCTAACATATTTATGAAAAATAACATAAGCTATTTTTAATTTAGCAAAAGAATTGGGATTCCTCGCAAGACCTTCTCCGCGTACCTACGGACGCACCCAAGCAAAGCAAGAATACGTTGCTAGTTACCGCATATACAAAATATTATATGTAATTTTATGTTGCAAAAAGTACACAAAATCAAAATAGATATAATTTACGCTATAAAGTACTATTAGTCCTTGTATCTTTCTACCGCATAATTAAGACATTAACTGTGAAATCATAACAAACTGACAGTTTCGCTTTCATATAATTTTTATCACATACATTAGTATGGAAAGTATAAATGAAGCATCGTTAAAAGCGTGTTGGCATTCCGGTTAGTCCTTTATAAATGTATATTTATTTAAGAGGATAAAGGAGAAAGTTTTTAATTTAACACCGGACAGGTCTGAATGTAAAGAAACAAAATTAAATGGATACAATATCGATTATCCTTATCGCACGCCATCTCATACTTTCTTTTCCCTGCTGTTTAAAATATCTGTCACTTTACTTAAATTGTAATGGAACTAAAGCTTTTAACGCCTTCAATTTGCGTAGATGTCTGAGAAATTAATTAATTATACATACATATGTATGTGTATATATGAAATTTTCTGTATGTCTGTTTGTCTGTAGCAACTTATAGTTTCTATAGCGTTCATCTAAGTATAAATATGCTTTAGAGGATTGTTGTAAGCATGCCCTTATCTTTTTACTAGCAACTCGCCCTCGCTTCGCTTCCGGTTCATCCCTAGACAAAAACAAATCTATCCCATGGGAAGTGTACATTTTCCGGGATGATATATAGCCTTATAGCCTTCCTCAATAAACGAGCTGTCTAATGCAAAAAAAAAATTCAAATCGGATTAGTAGTTCCTGAGATTAGCGCACACAAACTCTGCCTCTTTATAATATTAGTATGTATAGATTTGTATGTCTTAATTTTGGTAATTAACTAATTAATTTTGGGATTTAAATAACGCCGTTGATAGAACTTAGTAAACTTTTATAATGAAGTAAGTAGAGCTGATAGTCTGTACTCTGTTATAAAGAAATCTAGCGAACCCAAAGAAGTGGAGCAGTAATCATAAATGTCAACAAATCGGACAAACTTCTTCATCATGTTTTATATATATATATATATATATATATATATATATATATATATATATAGTTGTAGATGAAAAATATATAAATAAAACATAAAACATGATGAAGATTGGATCAATTTTTTTCATGGCAAGTCGGAATTCTAAAGCAATTAACCTTTAGTCTCAAATAATGACTGCAAAATATTTATATAATATATTTCTACATATGTACCATATATTATTGTAAATTATTATTCATGATTTTTTTATCTTTATCTACATCTACACAACTATTATGAAGAGGAGCGATTTGTATTTTTGTATGTTTGTAACGAATAAACTCAAAAACTACTGGACCGACTTAGATAACATTTGGTATGAAGATAATTTAGGACCCTGGGAAAGACATAGGATATTCTTTATTCCGAAAATCATCTCTTAAGGGGTTGAAAATGGGGATGAAAGTTTGTATGGGGAATCAACCTAGAGACAAACCCGAGCGAAGCCAGAGTGAGTCGCTATAGTTATATTATATATTTCTATTACTAACTAACTAAAAAGCTTTTTGAGGCGTGATTTTTAAGTTTGCAACTATTGGTTTGAACAAAAAGTCACTTAAGAACATGTATCTGAATTTAGAAAAAAAAACACCCATTACATAACAAAAAAATTCACCCATCACTTACAAGAATGGAGCGAGTCCGAGTAAAATAGCTGTGACATATGGACAGACAAACAACTAATGGATATAGCGAAATTATAAGGGCCTTTTGACTACTGGACCTTAAAAATAACCGATTTTGTATCTTTAGTTTATCTTTTTCGCTACCGCTATGGTAGTCTACCAAAAAAAAACAAAGAATTTCTCTAATCATTCTAAATCAAACAACAAAACAATATTCACATATTAAATGAACTTCGAAAAAATGTCACCTACTGCTAATACGGGACATTTCTTATTTATAAATATTGAAATATAACACGATAATATCGAATTAATTAAAATTCTTGTCTTTCTTTTTGTTGTTGTTTTTTTTCTTTATCCTAACTTACATGAAACTTACATGAAAAACCTTAAAATATTAAAACTTAATTTGAATATACGACTCTTTATTTACGGCGATTTTGACACTCATTATGTCTATTTGCCAACCGTTTAGCGCTACGGTTCGTGAGTTCGAGTTTTATTTAATAAATATTTATTTAGTCATTTTCGACTGACAAACATAAGTGCATTAGATGATTAGTGTTTATAGATTAAATGTTACGTAAATTAAGTTAATATTATTATTACTGTATAGGTTAAAATGGCATTGAACACTAACAAAAATAGATATAGGTATGTAGATTAAAAAGCGCATTTCTATATCTATACTAATATTATGAAGAGGTAGTTTGTGAGTTTGTGACATTGCGAGTTTGTGATGTTGTAGAGGATAATCTCTGGATCTACTAAACCGATTTAGATAAAATTTGGTAAGAAGATAGTTGAGACCCTGGGAAGGACATAAGATACTTTTTATCCCGGAAATTATCCCTTAAGGGGGAGAAAATGGGGATGAAAGTTTGTATGGGGAAGTAAGCTAAGGACGAACCCGAACATATTATATTTAAAGTATAAAGTCTTTGGTTTGCGAGCCTCCTATATTCGTTATTCAACCCAATTGCAATATTCCATCTGCAGTCAGTAGGTGA